GAGATTGAGAACACTTGCAAGGACTTGTTACTTATAAATCCCTGCCTTTTATTTTTCTTCCTTTGCTACTTGTGTCACCAAGCCATCTGCTTAATCAATTTGTTAAAATAGTTTAAATATTACTATCAAGCTCATTAGCCTCCAGCATGGATAAAGCATCTTTTTCATGCTTTCAATGATGCATACATGTGAGAATTTTTCATTTTGGATACTTCTGCCATTCCATGTTGTTTTTCAAAATTATTGGCTGTGATTCTGGGCTTTTCTCTACTCTAAGATGCAGTTCCCTCAAACACGAAGGCTTGACCTCAGTTGTGAAAATCAAATTAATAATCTAATAGAATATTAGTAAAAGCACAAAATAAAGATGGAGCCAGATTAAACAGCATTCCTAAATTCTGTCCTGTCAGTGTCTGCTTGTGTGAAAGACAAAGTGAAGTGAAAACTCTTGCGAGTATTAAGTAACCTTCTCCTGCTTTGATTCCCTGCTCTCCACGAAGCTTTATGATCACCATTGCTCTTACAGCTCACTGGTGTCTCTCTAAAAAGAATTGCCATAGATATGATTGCTCCAATTTTTGAGCTATCATACAAAGACTATTTCTGAAGACACCTAGCATTGAAAGCCAAGGGAGTTCAGAGTTATGAGGCCCCCAGGATAACGCAAAACTGAGAAGCAGCCTTTCAATGAATACAAGAGCTCTCCCTGTGACTTGACTCCTGAGCTCAGTATGCAGAGCAATAACTTGTCCAACTTTAAAGAACAGGAATAAACTAATAGAAAATTTAGAGTTTTATGCATTCTTGAGTTGAAAAGACACTGCCTCTACAACTCTTTAGCAAAGTCTTATGAAAGTATTTTGTCTTCAGGCTTAATTTTGTTTTTATTCTTTTGTTTTTTGTGGGATTCAAGAACAGAGTTTGTGTTTTATTCCAGTAATAGTATACAGGATAAAATGTCATATGCACTGATATTACAGTGACGCAAGCAGAGATGTCGTATGTACTGACATTGTAATGACCCTGACTGATAGAGAGTTGGAGGCGGGACCAATTAAGAGGGACAGGACAACTTAAAATTTCAATTAAAAAACAATCACATGTTTATGAAGACATGTGCATGAGCAGACCGGGAAAGGCAAGGACAGATAAAACTTGACTGTACCAGGAGGTCCTTTCTAAATTAAAATGAACATGTGGTCCAGATTACATAAACTCGAAAAGTGTTATAAATATAGGCACTGAACTTAAGCCAATTTAAGATGCTTATGGACTCCATACTTGCAGGCCTGAAGTCTTCTCCAGATCTTGGTAAGGTTCTCACTTTGATTAAGTAGCCATCTCTTCCTGCCAATTGATGGATACTGGAAACTGTCTAGACCAGACCATTCCCCCTCTCTTCATAGTCTCCTCAGCCTTGCCAAGAAATTCACTTCCTTTCCCCTTTTGCTATCAATTGAATTTTATGCTTGTATTGCTATAATGTGGGTCCCTCCCATACTTTCACATTGGGGTTACGTGTCTTTGGCATGAAGTGAAACTTCTCTTTGGGAGTTGGCACTTAGAGATCCAAAGCTGACAAAATAAAGAAGGAAGAGCTGTAATGTGGTATGTAGGGACCCACCAAAAGAACAAGTTACGGCAGAGCTGCCAACAGAATGCCAGTTGAATGCACACAAAAAAATGGGCATGAGGGTGACAGATAGGAGCTGCTGATTGGTTTCATGATAGTGTTACTTTTCTTTGTCTATGGGAGGTGGAGGATCCAATTAGGTGAGTGTACATTCCTGCTTCCAAAATCATATCCTCATGCATTCGCATGCATTCGCAACCATTCTGTTTACAAGGGATGGTTATTCTGTCAAAACGAGTTAGCTTTTTGGACTTGAACCCACTCAAGTTAGTGACTTGTCTTTTTGAATCTTTGTAACTGAGTGTCATCCATTGAATCATGTTGAATTCATGAAGGGATCTCTTTGCGCTCTTAGAGAATTTGTCATATACCCCATATCCTTACACTTCTATCCTCATTTTCATTTTCTTTTGAGCAATTTTCCTTTTTAAAAAAAGTTAGGGCTATCAAATCATACAATTTTCCCTTGGGAGTTCATATACTATTCCTCCTCACGTGTAGACACCACTCTGACTATGCCTAAGGTGCCTTCTTGTCTATCAACTCAGTCAAATTATTTAGTCCTTTATAAGCTCATTTTCAACTTCTATGAAGTCAAGATAGCAATTACTGTCCTCATTTACACAGTGGTAATTAAATGATATGCTTGTCAAACTAATTAGGACTTTTGTAGGTACATAGAAAGCACTGAAAATCATCCCACCTCATTGTATTAATTTATAATTTGAATGACTTTAATTACCAACAAAGTCTCCACTTCAGGATAGTGTTTTTCTCTGGTGGGATTGCAAGGAAGACAAAGGAGAAATTACAAATTCTCCTGCTTCTCATTGAATAATACCGCTCTGCTATATTTCTCTGCCTGTTCAAATAGCAGATTAGTTCTCCACAAAAATCCAACAACCCATTATTTACATTAGTGGGTGTTATAAATATCCTGAAGGGGAAAATGCCATCTTTTCCATTTTGCAATAAAGCTGTGGAAATGACTGCCCCAATTTCACACCGGGCTATGAGCCGCACCAACTTGCAGAGGCAAGAGAAAACAGAACTGCTAGTGGTAAAGAAACAGCATATCGATTTTCAGGTATTATGCAGGGTTTAAGCTACTTAAATGATGCTGAGTGTTCACGTGAAGTGCCACCATATAGAATCCGTTAGAATTTAGTCATTCTGTTTGAAAAAATTACCTTGTGCCTTATGCACTCAATTTTTAGAATTCTGTCTCTTGAGTCATTATGGTCATTTTCAAAAATTTATGCTGTCTGAACATACTTACCGTTTACTCCACTCTTAATCTTTTCTCTTAAAGTCTTGAGACAAAGCAAAGTTCCACTGCTGCCAGATTAAACCCTGTCTGTTATCTAGAAATGTATTGCTGAAAATAACAGCAGTTTTAAACGGCAGGTGTAGTATTACAAAACAAACCATCTAAAGTCAATGAAAATTTTGGAGTAATGTTCCACCAATACCTAAGTACCCTTTTCTAGAATGGAGCTATATGGCATAAGTTAGACAAATGAAGAAATCGCTCTAAACTTGTTACTTTTTTTTTAAAAAAAAGATGGCAGAAGAACACTCACTGAGTTACTAAGCTTCTAGAAAGAAGCCTGTTATATAAATGTGAGCTGTGTTATTATTAGCAATGTTCTGATGCTCTTTAGACCCTTAGTTCAGTTTGGTGGAAATAAAAGCTGAGGGCAGACAAATCAACTGGAGAAAAAGAAAATTATGCATCAGTGGAAATTGTTTCTATTACATTTGTCAGAATATCAAATTATGAGATAAACCAGAACTCAATTTTTCAATAAGCACATCAAATCCCTTTTATCAGTGCTATATTTGAATAAGGATAAATAAAAATTCCCACTTATCATAGCGAAAATATGCAGATCTGCTGTTTAGCACAAGGTAGACAGTGAAATGAAAATGCTAAGATTTTTCCAAAAGAAATATTACTTCTTATAGAAAATGTGTTTCCTCTCTAGAAATTTCAGTCTCTAGAAAGAATCCTTGTTTGTCATCATCAACAAAATGTCAACTTAGGTCCATAGTTTTCTAAGATTTTTATGTTTTCTTAAAAGTTTCATGTGTCTGCCCGTTTGACAGGAGGGAATGAAAAAAGATTTGGGGATGGTCTAGCTCAAGACACTCTCTGTAAATGCAGGCCATTGCATGAGAGCGACTGAAAGAGAAATTGTTCTGGAGTCTAAAACCTGTCCTAATATTGTCCTTTCTAACACCCCAGAGATATGAAAACAACAGTGATAAAACAAGGGTAGCAGAATTTTCTAGTTGGCAGAAGAGACATGAAAGACGAAGAAGAAGGTAGAGCTTTTCAGTATGGTGATGAAAGAAAAATGGCAGGGCTTGTCTCTACTAGGACATAGCTAGAGTTTGTTTCCCATAATTTGTTGTGATTGAGGAGGTATCTCAGGGATCTACTGTCCTGGGAGCAGACAGCCACAGAAGGCCAGATGGGTGGGGAAATAATCTGGGAATGTCACAAATAATACTTTTTTTTAAAGAAACAAACAAAATTCTTGTTACACTTTCTCTAGGACTCCAGGAACGAGGCCCCAAAGTCAACCTTGGAAGGCCACTCTCAAGGGGCCAGCACTCACTGATTCCCACAGTTTCACTCGCTGCTCATTTGCCTTGACCAGACTCGTGTGGAAGACGAGGCCCTTTACCCCAGGCACTTGCGGTCATCACTGGCTGCCCTCCCTAAGGGGAAGCAGGAGCAACGTGACTAGGACCACGCACCAAAGGCCTGTTTTCATCTGGGGTTGGTCCATGTGATTCTCAGAGTGACTGAATTATGTGACTTCCCTGGGGAGCACTATCATCATCCATAGTGTTGATATCCTTAGGAGTCCTTGAAAGAATATTTAAGATTCTTCTCCCTAACACCTTATATGCAGGACTCTTATAGGAAAGAGAGAATTCAGGTGGCCTAATATAAATGACACAATACCTGTGACCATGATGTGAGCTGCTAGAACCTCTGTTCCAGGGAAAAGTCTGAAAAAGTGAGGGAAGGAGCTTAAGCACTGGTGGATGGTGTTCCCCTCCACTCATTCCCATCTTCTCTCCATGAGGTGGGTGATTGGAGGGAGAGAATTGATGCGTTGGCAGGTGAACCCTATTCCTGTAAAAACTATTGAGGACCTACAAATAAACCTCCAAGTCTGCATAACGAAGTCTTTAGATTGTCCCAGTTCTTTGAGTAGGTGGGAGTCAGAAATTTTTTCCCAGAGTTGGCACAGGAGAGATAAAAGATTCGACAGGAGTCATTTTATAATCACCCTATATCCCGCTGCTTCTCACAGAGTGTCTGTGCATCAGTAATGTGTTTACAAGCAGATAGTTTCGTATGAAGCATTTATTTACCCTTATAATTAAGATGCATGTGTTTCACTGGAAGTATCAGTTTTGAGGCCTTTAAAGCACACGATAAAGATAGCCATGCAGAGGGAAGGGAGCTTCTGTCCACAGGCCATGAGTGGGCAAACTCAGCATGTCGTATGGTGATGATAGTAGGAAAGTACAATCGAAAAACACACTTGCAAATTGTATTATACAAAATAATTTACTTCTCATTCAGAATGACCTTCCACACCTACTTTTGAGACAGCAGTCCGAGTACAGGTTACAATATGAAAGTCATGACAGTTAGCATAGGTTAGGTCGATCGATATAGTTGGTTACACCTTGGGATCCTGGAGTCAAGTAGAGACAAAATTGTGGAACTGTGTATAACAAAAGAGGATGCTGTCAGGAGCTCCAGGGACATTGAAACAAGACCCAGAGGGATTAAAGAGTACAAAGGGGAAAACCTACATCTTGAATTACAGTAAGATTTGTACACACACACTCCGGTTTCTTCATTTCACAGCCCAGTCCATTGGCTTCAAAGCCACAAAGGTGCTCATGCATGTGATTTCTACTGGAGAAATTGGTGTGTGGGCACGCATGCATGCATGTGAGAGTCAATTTGGAAGAATGAGAAGAAAATTACTTCCTGGCCATTCATTCATAATTCAGGTGATATCCTGCACCTCTATTTATAAAACAACACAATAATAAAAACATTGTACAAAACATCATAAATAACATAAATGAGAAATTTTCAAGTATTTCATGTGCCTTGAAAAGTTCCAAACAGTAGTAACAATTGATTTTTTTTTTCTTTACCCTCTCAGTTAGTCTCAGAGCTTAGAAAGAAAGTACTTCCGTGTTTGAGAATGTTGGGATGAATTAGACAAGATTCTACCTATATCCCGCTGGATGTTGGGATGAATTAGACAAGATTCTACCTTCAAAAGAGGAACTGAAGATGTTTCAGCATGTGAAAAGAAGTTTTCCCTTTATCAAATACAATATTTCCCCTGTTGCTGGTTTGTGAATTAGGCAGACAGCCATGCCATGAGGGGAAAACAAACAACCGCAGTGAACTAGAGAGCCACATCTAATGGCTCAAGTTCAAGGAAAAGCAAACTGAGAAGAGCACCTTGATTAGGAGAGGACAAACGAGAAGATATGAATATTAACCTTTCATTCAGACCTTTTCTCAGCCAATGTCCTACAGTAGGTAGAGCTGGCAAGGCCCTAACTTCATTTCTCCATTTCAAGGATCCTACCCTTCAGCTCGGTTGCACCAAGCACCCAAAGCCAGGGAGACCCTCAGTGTAGAGACTCGAAAGTGCCATCAAGGACAATCAGCCCAAGACAGCACCGTGTCCACTAGACCTAAGGTGCTTTATGGTAATTGCTCCTTAAAATTTTGTTCTACATGCAGGCTGTCCGTGATTAAATTGAGCATGAAGTTCCTCGGGTGCTTCTCTAACAAGACCTATGGAGTTGCACCCAATCCACTTACCTGGCTGGCATTCCTTTCCTAGCTGATTCACATGTTTGATTGCAGGATGAAAGACCAGGGATTAGAACATGCATGTAAGTATGTACACACACTCTGGTTATGAGCACCGAGGGTCTTTCTGATCTATTCTTACAGTGTCTAATACAGTGCATGGATACACATATATACATATATATATATATTCTTGTGTGTATATGTCTACACACACAAACACACACACATATGTACACAAATAGATTGATCTCATCTAAACATTTAGAGTTGGAGGAAAGAGCTGTCTGACAACATGTGCCCAAGGATGTCATATGAATAGTAACCACCCAGCTGAGGTCAAACTGTTGGAAGAGAGAACAACCAACAATCTTGGAAAATCCAGACTTATGTGGCCATAGTTTGAATACATATTCACATGGCACCCTACAATAAGTGTGGGGAAATAGGGTTAGGATGAGGTCCTGTCCCTGATGAACACCTAAACACCCCAACTAAATCTAGCTTTACATGGGAGTGACTCACACACAGCCGGCAGCATGAGTTCTAGGCTACAGTGTGGATATAGCACTGGTGCTTGATACAGATCAATATTTGGCCTCAGGTTTTCCAGGAATAAAGTCTGGGTGTTTCAGCCCTCCACCTCCAAGTGACAATCAGGCACACTGGGGGACCAAGGAGGGACAGTCTGCAGAACTCTTGGCTCCTTTCTGCTTCTCTGACCCACAGCTGGAGGGATTGACCAAATCAAGGTAGAACCGGGACTTGAGGAAGCGACGGTATGAATCCTTCTTCATGAGGTTGAAAATCTTCTTCTGGGCCTCATCAAAGCAGGTGATGGTCGGCTCTAACATGTTCCGACTGGTCTCCTCCCTGGTGCAAGAGTCCAGGTTCACCTGAAGGACACAGACCAAGTCTGTTAGATACAGAACCCTATGACAGGTGCTTACTATAGATTGCGCACCTTCTATGCCTAGGCATGAAGAAAAGACATCCTAGCTCATGTGAGAGAATAGAAAAGGTTTATCTACTTCTGGGTGAGAAGGGCAATCTCTTCTGATCTTTGTCAAAATTGAGTGATTCATCAAAATAATCTGGATGAAAGAGCTATTTTCTTCTTAACTGGTTGATTTGGGGTTGGCAAGATTATAATAATCTATCCCACTGTTCTTTCTTTTGCTTCACATGATCTAAAGTCCCAAGATATGGAATACCACTTTGAAGACTTTTTTAAGACCCAGAGATTTCTCTGCTGTACAAACTTACCTCTTTGGTTGCCTGAACTGAGATGAATTCATTATAGATCTTTTTGGCCTTGGGAGTTAGTTTAGAGGGTGATTTGATTTTCTTATACTCTTCACAGCTGATCCAGAAGTCAATATTCTCCTCACTGTATTCAGACTTCAAAAAAGCTTTGAAAGCTGCCAGCCCACCTGTGACAGAAGAGAGAAGTACTGTTGTTACCACACTGGCTCACCTTCCTGACACTGTATTTTAGATCAAGCTGAGTACTTGAGGAAATAAGGTATAGGGTTCAAAATCCCCCACTTCCCATCTGAGGTCAGATAGCCATAGTCTGTGTGGTATATAGTGGATCCTGGTTACACCTGGTGATTCTTCCCCAAAGTTTGAAATTTCTTTCACAAAAGTGTTGTGCTTCTGAAAGGCCTATGCAGCTTTGCTTGCCAAAGTGTGTTTGGGTTGATCTGGTACTAGTGATAGTTTTCTTCATGGTTCTATCTGAACTTTGCATTGTATATTACAATGCTATGGGTCATGGTAAAATTTAAAGGGGCTGACTTTCTTGAGCCTGGAAGTCAAGGAACTTCTGCAATTTATATTAGACCAAACATAGGATGAGATAACTCGTCTAACCAAAGGGCCTTTATGTTCACCCACAGAGGAGAAAAAAATCTGTCAGACTTACATTCATGGCTAATCAGATTTTCCAATGACTCAGCCCATTTCTTGACTTCCTCTTGGCTCACCCTATAGATAGTGCAGAGAAAGAAAAATAATTTAACACCCTGAATAATTCTCATTTTGCTCCCATCTTGGTGTTAAGACCTATTGTTAAGTAATCTTTTCATTAAATGCATGGAAATTTCTAATGAAAATGTGATGAAAAAGCATGCTCACTGAATCCAAATCCACTTAACTAGAGATAGAACCTCATTTCTCCTTACAAAACATCATTGTCATCAGATAGCTGAGTAATTTTCACCAAAGCCTCATCTCTTACCTCTGACAAATAACCACTTTGTCCCTCTTGCTGTGTGAAGAGTTATGTTCACAGGAATCAGACTTCTGCAGCAGAAAACCGAGACGATGTTTCATATCTTTTGCACTGCAGACAGGCAAAAGGAGAATAATGAAAACCAGGACCCTTAAAAGATACCTTAAACTCCAAACAGTTCATTACTAAGAAAGGGACAGAAGAGATTATTTAGGGAATGAGAATCAAAAACAGAAGGTAGGAACTCTCAGGGAAACAGGATTCCCCTTCTATTCTATTCTGTCTAGGACTGATTATGGAATATGGACAGAGTGGAACCACAGTTTCCTTTGTCTGTAACTGGATTCTCACCCTGTGTTCCCCAGGGGCATCTTTCATAAACCTGTCATTCTGATCAATGGAACAGGCCACTTTGTACCCTTTGGTGTCTTCAATGGAAACACATTGCAAACTTGACAGTTCTTTGGGTCATTTGTAGGAGTTAACAATGCAAGCAGACACTGCAAAATATAGCTCCTCTGCCTCCCGCCACCTTCTGGAAAGCATTGCTGTAATCCACCTGCTTCCTGGCTAGCAGAGCACAGGAGCCTCCTGAGAAAGCAGGGGTCTGTTCATTTCTAGCCTGGCATCAGGGGTCTGTTCATTTCTAGCCTGGCATCAGGAGTCCGGTCAAGCAGTTCACATTCTGGGGCACATCACAGGTGTGCAGCTCTGGCACAGGGAAGTGTGATGGGGGGCAAGGGGAGGGAGTGCAAGTGCTTAAGCTGAACCCCCTTTAGGCTTGCTTCTAGAGGCTCTCCTGTTGCAGCCGTCTGCTTTATATCTACCCTACAAGGATATTTATATTCCAAAGGACATTTGAGGCTTAAAAGAAACAATGAGAAGCTGCGAGTATCCTCACGGAGCAGTGACTGTTTAATTAGGGCCAAATACCCAGCTCCTCATTGCTGTTTAGTGGGTGGCTAAGAGCCAGCCTGCACATGACTGCCTCCAAGGAGGGGGTCTTAATAAGCTTTTAGCTTATTCAACTTTCTCACTCGGTTAATTATCCCTTTGTATATTACAAAAGTCAAAAACTAGATTTAAAAAAGAAATGTCGATTTTAAAAGAAGTGAAGGACTAATTGTTCCTACTTAGAGGGAGAAAAATGAAGCCACAAGCATACAAAGGCATTTTAGAATGACTTCCAAACCTATGAGCATTTCCTCAGAAATTGTGAATTGCACTCCATTCTTGGGCTGTCCCTCAAATACTTATCTCCCTTACAAGATTGTTTTCTCTTCTATGCTGCCCCCAGTGGTTGAGGATGCAAAATCCTCCTTTGTATAGCATGATCTAATCATGAAAGTCAAAGTGATTCTAAGGTGATGCTGTAAGTAGATTATGACTTGGTCAAGATAGGAATCATTTCATATTTCCAGGTACCATATGCAGCTGAGTGCTGACAGCTCTTGATGGCTTCAGAGTCATTTAATGAAGAGTTGGAAGCATGCCTTGTTTGCCCTCATTACACAAAACAACCATAAAAATGAAATTATGACTTCTGAATTTGAACTCTACCCCACACACTTCTGTGACCTTGAGCCGTTCACGTCCCCTCTGTAGACTTGGGCTCTAAAGCTGGAAGGAAAGTAGAGAGATGACCATTCACCAAGATGGGACTGCTCTTCTCTCTAATCAGCCTCCCCAGGTTAACACCTTAGCTCCTCGGGGCCACACTCCTGGGCACCTTTTCAGCTCCCCCAAAATAGTTACCAGTGCATGACTTTCTCCTGACATCCCTGGGTTACACACGACTACTGTTCTATGTGGAGCCTGCAACCATTTGCTCCATTCAGTTCAGGACATTAATGGTGGAGGTCAGAGGTACTTCTCAGGCACCCTGCTACATATTAAAACTATCATGGGAGAATATTTGAAAAGTATGATTTTTCATTCTCCTAAATGACAGAATGAAAAGGTAATGTTCTTGGAAACTCACAAAAGATAGTGCTTTCTTGAACAGATGTAATTTTACATTTCAGCTGATTTTTACTTGCAGGGGAAAAGGAGGTGCACTTTCAGACTGACTTTTTACCTTTAACTGCAAAGCAGTTTAGAGCATTCTCTAAAAGGATTATTTACACCTCCTTAAAAATTCAGTCTTATGAGTTGCTATGTATCTTTGAATTGTTTTCAAAGAGACATTACATTTTCTGAAATTTTTAAATTTTTTTTTTTACCAAATAGTGTCATCAGATGAGAATACAAAATCATTAACTGATTTCTTATAGTCAATCCTACTCCACCACCACTCACATAAGGCATGACAAGAACTAGAGGTAGAGGCAGAAAAATAAGGATAAGCTGGTTTTGAAACTTTTTTTTTTTTTTTTACTGAAGTGACACTAAATAGTTATATAGGCTTCAGGTGCACAGCATTATACATCACTATTGTATATACTAAGTTACATCCACCATCTGAAGTCCTGTTTCCATCCTTCCCCAGAAACTCACTTTCTATCATATCTATTTTTTGATATGAACATAGGGAATGACGGACAGTGCAACACAGAGAAAGCACAGAGTCACTCTGGCCATGCAGCCAAACCTCACTCTGGGGTGTCTGCAGACCCAGTGTTCCATCAATCAGACCCTTAATCAGACACGGGGTTCCATCAGAAAGCACAGGACCCTGATTCTTTAATCCCCAGTGATGCCCAAATACCAACAGCAACCCCAGGTGGTGTGTCATGGACAGCTGTACTTCATCCCAAACCTCAATCGCTTCTCCATCAGAACTGATTTGTTTAAAGGATCAGACCAATCTCAAAACCAAGCTCACACAAAACAACACACAGGTGCCAATATTTGGGGCAAACACTTACTGAAGTCCCTATTTCTAGTTTGTCTTGGAGGAGAGCTCGGAAACTGATGCTCTCCTGACCACGCTCTTTCTAATGCCAAAGAATGAAAGGAGTTGGAAAAGCAAATAATTATGGAAGTGGAACGGAAAGTTTAACACTGTTTAACAGCTGAAAATAATCTTACCTCCTCAAGCAAGAAGCCGGCAGCCCTGCAAGTCCTTTGCACATCTTGTTCAGTGTGGGATTCACACGTGAAGAGGGAAATGCAGCAGGAGGAGCTGTGGCTTCTGTTTTGAGCGCTCTTTGCCTTTTCTCTGGAAAGAGGCTGTCAGACTCCTCTGAGCTTCTCCCTCTGGAGCCTGTAGGGGTCTCTTTTATAGCCCAGCCAGGACGGCACAGCCAATCAGCTGGGCTGTCACACCGGCTCCCCAGCCTCCTCAGCTCTGGAACAGATAAGGAAGGAGAGCAGGCGCTTCAATAAAGCCAAATGAACAGGCAGAGAAAATCATCTTGCAAAGAAAACAGAGAGAATTAAATTTTGCTTCATGTCTTTATAATGTCTAAGGTTTTGAATTGCTGGGAAAGGAAAAATAATGTTTGCAAGGCTACCAAGCATGGGGTTTGTTTATTTGTCTGTAAAAATTAGTGAATGTCTAGTCAAATCACCTCCTGGAAGGAAGGGTACAGGCTGATTGTAGGGCATTTTCCCCAGGCACTTCCTCTTGGGGATTAGAAAAATAATATCGAGCACAGTCCAAGATTTCATTCTCCCTGTTTCCTAAAGGGAAATGGCAGGTTCATCATTTCCAGGCAGGGCTTTGCAGAAGTCTCCTTCTCAAATGCCACATTCAACAGAGAGGGTGTGGGGGAAGAAGAGCTGGCTAGTGGACCATTATATGCCCAGCCACACTGAAAAGTAGCCCAAGGAAAACAGATTAGCTACATCTGTCATCAGTCCATCTGTGGAATACTTTTCTAGAAATCTTATTAAAAGCAGAATTCAGCCTAGTTCCTGAAAAAAAAAAAAAAAGAAGACAACTCTGCAAAACAGCAGTTTAAGGGTTAGAGGAAGAGTAAATGAACAGATATAGACATGTATTTGTATTTGCATATCTTATTCTTATATGGCTTTATGTCTTATTTTGTCTTACCCAATTCTGTGTGTCCAAGTTGGTATTTCTATGGAAGGAGAGAAAGAAGCAGAAGAGAAAAATACTAGTTTGTCTCTCATATGACTAGGGTTTAAAATGAATGTAAGGATATTCAGCCCTACAGGTGCTTCTGAACACCCAGACAATTAGTGTCTTTTGCAAAAATGAGATGGGCGAATATGTCCAAGAATCATGCAGATGCTTCAAGTCTTATAGATCAAATACCCAAACCAAAGTTACTAGGGATATATTCAAAATAGAAAAGTTTTGGGTAGAAAGAGGAAATTAATTGCTAAGTTAGACCTGAACAACTTTCATTTTGACAGGAGGTAGTTTCCTGTTTGTGGGATAGAGTAAGCTCTTCATATAAGGAACAGGGATATCAAATGCTTTGGGTGGAGAAGATGAAGAATAGATGATTCCAATGAGATGCAAAAGTACCCAAGAAATACAAAGATAAGTGGTAAAGAGCAGTGTCTTGCTGCTTCTATTCCCTTCTCACCCCACACTGGCCCCCTCCCATCCCACTCCATTCATGGCCAGCAGAACAAGGATGTAGTAGAGAAACATAAAATGGTGAAGAGGCTGTAATATACAGAAGATGCATTTAAATTATAAGAAAAAGTCTCTGTTCTTCTCCCATGAACAACAACAACAAAAATATTAGATTAGCTACTTGGCAACTTCTTTTGGGGAATAACAGAGAACAAATCAATTCCTTTATGAAGCCATCAGCTTCCATTGACATGCGGTGGTGGATGAAGCTGTGGGATCATGTCGAGTGATAGAGACATTGGACCAAGGAAGGCAGACCCTAGGAAATGAGGCAGTCAGAAATGGCATCGAAAGGAGAAATTAACACAAGAGGATAAAGGTCACTCAAAGATGGATGGGGCCTTCTTTGCATACCTGGGCATGAAAGAGAGTGACCACTCAAATAACTTGACTGTAGGAATGTTAAAGAGGAGTCAATGAGAACTTTATTCCTTCAACCCAAGCAAAAAAAAAAAATTTTTTTTTGAGAAGTATAAATAATTCCAACCGATGAGCTTCATGGGAGAGAAGATATTCTTGCCTAACATACTCATTTTACCAGTAGAAATAGAGGAGAAAAGTGACTTGCAGCCTCACAGCTTCATACTTCATATTGATCCAGACCCACATTTCCTGACCTGTGATCATATGGATTTTCTACTGTGCTAGCTTTCACCCATTGCTTTATCCATTGAGATAAACTATGTCAACAGAGGTGTTCCTAAACTGTAAAATGCAAAGTAAATATTTTTTATTGTTAGATTATACACAGTAGATAACAAAATCTAATGTTAATTTCATACTTTTCACTTGAGCAGGACTCATGCTACCCACTTGTCTCTTGTTCCACAGATAGTTGCTGTCAGCTTTTTTAATTTGTGATTAGCCCATTAACCTGTCAAGGCATTTCAAATGTATTCATTTTAAAATCTTGCTTTCTTAGGAGTTTGAACAGCTAAAGAATGTTTAAGAAAGCTTCTCCTCCTAAGTTAACTTATTTTTCCCTTTGGAATGTGTTTATTGTGTTTGAGGAGGCGAAGACCAAGTACATCATGATACCTTGGCAATTTTCCGCCCGCCTTCTCTGGCATACACAAAGCATTAAGTTCTATTATTCTATGATTTGTCACTCCTGGATGATTCTGACAATGCAGAAAACCTTGAGTCTCAAGAGATCCAATTAGTATTTATTCAGTTATTTAAGCCCTTGGAGCCCTTGGTCTGTAGGGAAGGCTACAGTCGGTGCAGTGAACAATCAGACAAGACCCCACCCTCGTGGAGTATTTGTCCCAATGGGAAGAGTCAGAAAATAAGTAATTCCAGATTTCGACCTATATGAAGAAAATAAGCAAGTACTGCTTTAGATCTGGCTGGCAAATGTTTTACTTAGCCAAGGAGATCAGGAAGACCTCTTTGAAAAGAAATTTGATAGTTAAGAAAGAATGAGCAATGTAAGAAGCCTAGGAAATAGGAACAAGAGAAAATGTTCTTTATCTAAAGTGGGAATGAACAAAAGCATGGCTAGAGACTTGAGACCAATTAGAGGGTATCAGGAAGTAGAGATAGAACAGTTAAGGTCAGTGTTGCACGGACTTGTAGGCTATGGTGAAGAGACTGAGCCTTATGCGCAGTGGAAATCTGTAGGAACTGAAGTAAATGAGGACATGATCTGCTCATTCTGATAGTGTAGGGGAATGAATTGAAGGGAGAACATGGAAGCAGGTGGACCAGTTAACAGAGTTAACAGTTTGGATCCTGGCTCATGAGCTTCTTCATTGCATAATGGATATAATAAACTCCATAACTATGTATTCAGTACTATGAAGTAGACATCATTGCAGTCTCTGGTGACCTAAATATGAATCAGAAGTGATTGGTACTTTTCATGAGCTCACACTCTCATGCCAGAGACTTTTAAATAACTGGAAAACACTAGGCTATGTGTCATTATTATAAACATGTATGTACAAAATTTAAGAAAAGCAGAGGGTAGAGAAAAACACAGTCTTGACAATGTAGAGTGGTTTTCACAAAGGAGACTGAAAAAGGATGATTAGAGACATGATAGATGTACAAAGAAGAGCATTACAATAGAAGACGCAGTAATAACATAATTTTGGGGGGCACTAAATTTGCAAGGCACTGTTTTAAGTATTTTCTATTGATTAATTTATTTATTCCTCACAATTCATCCTGAAAGAAGGTCCTACAATAATCCTATTTTACACATGAGACATAGAGGTACACCCTCAAATTTACATACCTATTAATTGTGAATAAGTCTATTAATTCAGGAGGCCATGTTCTGACAGTCCAACCCCAACGTCCCTGCTGGCATAAACCAACTCCATTAGATCCTGTCATAACCACAAAGGATGAAGATGTTTAAGTTGGAGTCCATGGAGACTGTCCAGTGTGGTTGAGCTTTGGCAATGAGGGAGAGAAATGGGCTAGGTGGTTACTCTGAGATTAAAAAAAAGTCTTGTCTCTTGTCACAATGAAACCAAATTTTATCCTGCAATTGTTTTACCCTAGGGGAGCCAGCCACAGTATTTAAACAGATGAGATAAAGTGCTCTAGAAATAGAACTTGGGAGGCATTGCAAGGGAATAAATTACACGAGAGATAAATGAAAAAAAGTCAAAAGACAACTGCATTAGTCCATGTGAAAGATGATGATAAAAAATAATACTACTTGAGATTGTTGTGAGAATGGAATAGGGCCATACATATAAAAGAGCACCCTAAACTGTTAAGGGCTGAACATCTGGAAAGTGGTGTTGACAACAAAGCTATAGGACAGCTGTTTCCTGCAGGGGAACATGGAGCCACAGAGCAGGATGTCAGCTGTGTGTGGTCTCCAGGTAAATTTCTGATTTCCCCACCCTTAACATCGGGAGAATAAAAGAAGATACTGCTTAAGCGCTGATGAATGGGCCTCACAGGAGGAAATCAGCTATTGTGACAGGTGCTGGATTCTTCTACCAGATTTTTAAAGAGACACCTCTATGCCACTAGGACAGGATGGCACTGAGGCTCAGCCTCAGACTGCATTCCTCACTCTGATTAAAATTTTCCTCCCAGCTGTTCAAAGCCTCCCTCCCGCTTTGTTTACTACAGTGGCCCAGGCATCAGTCAGAGTTCACAGTTATTGATTTTGAAGATTCAAAAGCAAACATATCAGGCTGGCAGAAGCTGCATACCAGGGACATGAACTGGGAGTTTCCCAGTAAGGCTTACTTTGGGGAAATGTGTCTTACTCTCCATACAAACCTTTGCGGAACTAGGAGTAATCGAGTGTCCCTCCCCTAACACTTCACTGTACCTGGTGACTCATCCCTCCATCTTCTTAGACAGCACCCACTTAATGAGCTGGAGGAAAAATCCTTCTTTCCCAAGAAGTAAGGAAAGCACCAAATTATCCCTGTGACAAAGATTTAATCTTTCTTCAGCAAAGCTTAGCCCAAGACAAAAACAGTTTCATAAGAGTTCATTTAGATTGTGCTAGTGGAAAAATATGACATGAAATCATGGAATATACTAGAACTTTACAGTCAGGCAGACTTGGATTCTAATTCTAGTTCCAACACAAAATGGCTCTGTGATTTTTCAAGCTAGGATAAACTTCCTAATAGTTTTCTCTAATAGGTTATTTCTGATAAAAAAAAAAATCTTGATTTTGGGTAATACCCCAATTTCTAGGCTTCTGGGTAGTTAAGGGAGTGGTAAAAGTTTCTCATGAGTTTTCAAGG